ATGCACCCTTCTATAATGCGTTCAAGTGATAAGGAAGTTTTAAAATTAATATTTACTTGTAGTGCATATAAAAAATACTATTCGTATTTTATTTATATTTCTAAATTCTAGTGTTGGGAAAATGTGAGTCTTATCCTCATTTTGAGAAGTTAGTTAAGCTAGAAAGTAATCGCATTAGGGTGAGGTAAATTCTTATACTATGCTTTAAAATAAGGAAGATCATATAAGGAACACCAAAATTATTTTTAAGGAGTCCATATTCTTTAGGTAGTAAAACAAATGCTTACTTTTTAAACTCAATCTAATGAATAGCTTTAGTTATGCATTCATGATATGGAGCAATATTGTACATGACGTATGAAATACAAAATATATATGAGGTGCGCAATAAAGTTTTTATTTATTGTAAAATAATCCTTTCTCACACCTTATTCTTATGAATTGTGTAAATTAACACTCCAGAAAGCATAGGATCCTCGTTAAGATTGCTGAGATAGGGCGCCTGACTTTGTCCAACCAAGGAAATCTCACGTTTGCTCGCTTTCGATGATAACTCTTCAGACTCTAAACGAGCCTCTTTTAACTATTTTAAAGAAAGGATTTAAAATATAAAAAAACTTAAATTTTAAAATAACTGCCTGATAATATTTAACTGTGCATGCTGTGACACTAATAAATTAGTTTGCTGAATACAGAAAAATTGAGGTGCGATATAATAAATAACGGAACAAACTCTGCGATTATAAATATAATCGTTTTAAAACAACCAAGCGATGATAGTGTCTTGAAGTCTAAGCAATTTCCTTGATTTCACTTGTGACTTTGTTGAGGAATGACTGAGGAATTTTTGAGAGAAATGTCAGATTTATTGTACTAAGGTGATTTTGGAGATATCTTACAAGCCAAATCTATTATACAGTAAGCCTGCTTCCAACTCACGTTTTCACAAGCTTACAAATCAAAAACTGGATATAAAAAAATCTAGCCATGACAAACTCTGAAGTTCAAATTATTCACTATTGTCAGTATTAGTAAAGTCTTTTCAATAATATAACTAGTAACATAAAGGGATTTTTCTTATGCTCTTATTAACTTAACTTGCTTTTTCATCCACAACATTATGTACACTCATACTGAATTTTATGATGACATGCCTGGTTGTTAAAGAACTTACCTTCCTAACAAAAGCACCCTCTTTCTCTGCTTCCATTATTTCAGAATTAATCTGTAGCTGAGCCATTAGTTCTTCTCTTGTTAGATTCTGAACTTCCTCATTATCTAAAAGGTTGCATGATAGCATAAAATAATGTTTGAAATCGCTATATAATTGTAATTTGCTGGGTCACAATAAATCTTAAAATCTTAAATGACTTAATTACTTTTTTGCATACATTGTATTTAGCTAAAAAAATATATTTTTATATTTAAATCCACCTTATTATGCCTATCACGAATTGATTGGCTCATCACATAATTGTTCAATTTGAGGGAAATGTTGCAACAGAATTACAGGCTATATTTATGCAGGAAGATAATTGTTTAACATGACGGATAAATGGTTTTCATTTATGACCATTAGTTTACGAGGTGTAAGAAAATGATGTAAAGGAGCTGAAATAATATCACTTTCTGATACCTGCTTGAGATATACTTTCCTATATGACTCCATGCTTTATTCATACTAAGCCATTTAATTCAACAGTAGACTCTATAAACCTTCCTTCTACTGGCATGCAAATTAATCTGCTAAGGCAATGAAGGCCTATGCTAAGAAAAATTAATAAAATGAAAAAAAAGAGAAAAACAGCCATATGGACTTATGAGAACATTCTATACTGCAGTATCTTAGTGTCAAAATAATTTTAACAATAGAAATAAGTATTTACAGTAAAGGGGGAGAGGGAAGGTAAACAAG